CATCACAGAAGAATGTTTTACATAAAGGCTGCACTATTTATAATGGATCCTACTCTGTCTGATCTAAAGGCAAGGATTTAAATCACATCATAACGAGATCAAAATCAAACTGGTGAGAATGATCTTGGGTGGGTTGCATTTTTTGTTATTGGTTATTACAAAAGTTACAAAGTAATAAGCTATGAATTGCATATTGGGTTATATGTTAATATTTTTCATTTTATCAATCCATTAGACTGGGTTCAGGCAGGGCGACACAATATGGAACAATGAACTAATTGTATATTTTGACTAATATTGCAATTGTTATATTTTATATATATTTATTTAGTATAGGGAACTTACATTTTTTTTAAACATTATTGTTCAAAAACCGGAAAAGGATATTTCTATTAAGTCTTTAGAATATCATTTGTAGACAATAAATAACAGAATTAAATGTTCACATGTTTTTTCCCTTACCAAATATTGGTATATTGCACTAGTCCATATTGCGGACACTTGGATTAATAGTGCAGCCTTGGGTCAAGCTGCCCACATGCTCCATCGGTCAGTTACCCATGGTGTTCCCTACAGGGGTTAATACATCTTTACGATCATGTGTTTTTAGTTGTTACAAACCACAACATTGGACATTTTCAAGAAATAAAAACACACAACTCTCACTCACTTTTCTATAAAAGATCATTTGATTAAGTGTATAGGTAACTAATAAACATTTGATACACATATTTGTATTCCTCTACAAAGAGTCAAAGGACCCTCCCCAAACATGAAAAAGATTAACATTGAACACTGTGTGTGGAGCTGAAGAGGAAGAATGCTTGCAAGATCCACAAGTTAAAGAGCCAAAGAGTGATGTAATATATGAGGGTGGTTGTTTGTGGGAGGTGTGGGTGTATCTGCTCAGCTTCATTCTGCCTGTCCTGTGCTCAAGTCTTCCATTTGGTGTCGTCTGTCACCTACAGAGCGCAGCCAGCAGAGTGAGGCAAGCCTGGCTGCTCCCAGACCAGCACCAAGTCTTCAATCTGCACCGCCTGCTGAGACAGCCAACCAGCAGCCTGCTCCAAACAGCCTGTAGGCCTCTTACCCTCGTCCCAAAGCATTTACATAGAAAACTAATGTTGATTTCTGCTGTTAATCCCAAATGTCTCCTTGTTCTTTTTCCTCTTTCCTCTCTAAATGGACTCCATAAGTGCTGTCCCTGACGCTGTGGTGCTCCCCAGCATGTTCCAGGGGGCTGCAGAGTCCCAGCGTCCCCCTCTGAACCTGGACTTCCCCCTCTGGAACAAACTGCAGCCTCCTCATGCCACCCTGGAGGACATGGAGCTCACCTGCCAGAGACCCACCACCGTCAGTATATACACTTGTAGTGGTTAGACAAAACCCCTACAAAGGGTCCCTAAAGGGGAACCTTAAAGCACATGCCCCTCTTAACCAGTTCACTGTTTCTCATTTCACACATTTGAGCAAACACATCTCTTTAAATGCAGAACAAAATCATATATTCAACAGTTCAAATGACCAGTCAGTCCCACGTGAGTGAAGGTGTGTTTGCAGTATATAGTTCCTTAAAAATAGTCAAACTAAATGATATAATCTCCAAAACTCCGTGGCAGGCTTTTCTGCATAGTCCACTCTTAATCTAAATCAATAATCCACTTCATGTGCACGTTACACGTGCTGCTTATTCACCTTTTAGTGTTTAAAACACTAGATTAGACTTTTCCTGAATGAGTAGGCTTTGAATACACTGCATCCAACATTTCAACATGTCACAACATTTCACTTCCTCCCAAAAATAAGATAGAATATAGTCAATAGAAAGAAAAAAGAAAAGAAATGTCAGACATAAAGAAATGTATTTGAAACACTAATAATAAATCAGCAGTTAAAGAACAACAGGGTAGATGAAAAATGGTTGTCATCAAATAATATTGCATCCCCACTCATACTCACCCAGCCCCCCAACACCAACCCTCTTTACTCACACTCACACACACACACACACACACTCACTGTTGACCTGATTTTCTAAACTGTGCTCTGCTCCCGTAGGTGGTGTTATCTGAAGACCCGGTGGACGCGTCAGCCATCGGAGAGTGGGGGGAGCAGCTGGTCAACTCCTTCCTGTGCCACTGGAGAGACAGCGCGGACCCCGGGCGCCCCGCACACATCCTGTGGTGCAACGACAGCGGAGAGAGCGGGACGCCCTACGACTTCAAGCTCACGTTCGGACCTGAAGGGGGCCCGGTGGTGGTGTACGTGGAGGTGAAGTCGACTATAAAGAAAGAGAAGTCGTTCATCAACCTCTCCGCCAACGAGCTGGACTTCGCACTGAAAGAGAAGGAGCGCTATCACATCTTCAGAGTGTACAGCGCCGGGGACGCTCACAACGTGCGCCTGTGTCGCATTCAGAACCTGGCGCAGCACCTCCACACTAAAGACCTGTCCCTTTACCTGTTTGTATAAGTCCTTTTAATGTTTGTGGAGATATTTGCACTATACCAACTTACACCACAAGCACAGGCTAGCGTGTACTCACAGTTGATCCTTATTGCACTGATAGTGTTTGTTTTAATGTTCCTATGCCACTATCTCTTGTAGGTTTTTTATTTTCCTAGCTAATGAGAAAAACAAGTGCCCATTCCTTTTTCTTTCTGTCCAAAATATTTTTTTAACTGTTTTAAAAATGTACTATTTTAAAGTGGACATACTGAATGTTTTTATTCCTTTTTAATGACCTCACTTTACTCTAGCATTCCTTTAGAATAAAATCCTTTTTCTGGAACCTGACTCATTTAGTTTTTATTCCTCAGAGAGGACATATTGTGGTTATTTTCAGGTTCATATTTGTGTGTAGTGTCTCTACTGGGACATGTCTCCATGCTTTAATGTTCAAAAAGCTCTTTATCTTTCTCATACTGCCTGTGCTGCAGCACCTCTTTTCACCCTCTGTCTGAAACCAGAGCCCAGTCTGCTCTGATTGGTTAGCTGGCCAGCTCTGTTGTGATTGGTCAACCTTTTAGAGATGTTCTCTCTAAAAGGGTACAATGTGTTTGAGTCCTAGCAATTGGAAGCGCAAGTGTTACATAATGATGTCACTATGTCATGGAAGTAAGCAAAGGAGAGAAACTCCCTCTGGAGGGAATTTTGGGGGGATTTGAGCCTTTGCAGACCATTTACATCCACTCAAACCTACATATAACATATAACACAACACAGGAGAGGGAAAACCATCAAAAGCATAATAGGGCCTCTTTAAATAGGCTTACAGGCGCTTCTAGTACTTCATTAGTAATGAGGGGTTCTGTCACAGTAACCTCACTAACTGATGAAGTGATCACAGCTTCAGTTAAATCAAGTGGAGGCGGGCTGACTGGACATGTCCCTCACAGGCTTCCATCAGTCCTGGTAATTATGGAGTCAGTGCAATACAGTAAAAGCAGCCCAGCATTTTTCTTTCTCATCATATGGTGTGAAAAAATAATATGTTCTTATTTCTCTGGCCCCTGGTGGCCCCCACAGTTATGTTCTCGCTGTAGGAGGGTAATCGTTGCAAAGAGGACACTTATTAGCCATGTGATGGGTGTTGGTGGAGGGATCAGAAACAGCCTCTGGGGACAGCACCTCCTATTTTCACCCTGTAATGCAACCTCCCGGTAACCAGAGGGCTGCTTTCTACCAGTCATGGGTGATGCGCCACTTATAACCAGAATAATACTGAATGACAATTTCAGCACATTTCTGATCGAAACTCTGGCCATTTAATGTAAATCTCACACAAAATAACTAATAAAGAAAGATAACATCACTATTAATTTGCTGCAGTGTTGTGAGCCACAGGAATAAATACTGTTTCATGTTTTGTTAGAGACACCCACAGTCATGAGAGGACAGCGATGATTAACAGATGACATTTTTTTTGTTCTTATATTGGATGGGGGACTCCTCTTGTACTTCAAAGATGCCCCCCTTGTATTGGATTTATGAGGCATACTAAAACTAAATTCAAATAAGAGTCAAGAAGTGATTTTGGATTCAATAAAAAAATGAATCTGTGACAGGTTATATTGAGGTTGGAGACTTATTTTTCAACGTAGATCGTTTTTAAATAAGGCAATTAAGATAAAAAGATAAAGTAGGGGAGTTTGTTATTATTTGTTATTCATTATTATATTGCTTGAAATAAAGTGATTCATCAAGTAAAATACTTAGTAATTACTAATGCTACTACTACTCTACACTACTCGATCATCAGCATAACAATGGCTATTACTTCCATATGCATGAACACGTACATTATTAATATATAGAACAAAGTGGGTCAAGCTGCATCTCGTCAAGGTTATTGCTTTGGGGGGAAAAGCTAGAAGAATTGGAATATTTGTATTTTTTCTATGGATGTCAATTCAACTATGAAATTTAACATTTTGTAGAGGTCTTTTGTATATCAAAGTAACCTAATGATGGTTAATGGCAGGACAATAACACCTATACCAGAGTAGCATTTATTTAGCTGACACCCCTACATCAATCTTTTTGGTATATATTTTTTATTACAGGACTACTAGGGAGCTTCTTTTTTCCAAACCACACCCCCTAGCACCCTTCCCTTGGAGGTCTTTAAGTTATCAACCCAATTCAAAAAGGAATATATGAATAATGAAAAAAGCAGTGCAAAAGTTGGAGGTAATTGTGATTTTGTAAATACATACATTTAGGTATTCACCATCTTCTGTGTTCTGTGTATTGTTTTAAATATATACGTATATATAATTATAAAGTAAAAAGTGTTAACAAGAATCCCAACACATGGACATTAAATGAATGAAACATTAATAATGATTATAACATATAAAACACAAAAATAGCATATGTTGCTTGACAGAAATGGTGTGAGCCAACATGATGTTTTAACACAGATTGAACAGGATAGAACAAATCTGCTATGTTATATTTTAAAGTGCACCCTAACTCTCCATTTATCTGCATTTGTATTATATTTCCGACTGGCCCTGAACGCAGCATAGTCTGTACGGAGACAGCGAGCAGCGGCGGCTCCCGGCGGAGCAGCGCGGCGATTGGCCAGAACGGAGAGGGGGAGGGCTGATCTCCCCCCACCCCCTGCTCGCCTCACTCCTGGCAGAGGCACTCCTCTCCTCCGCGCCTCCCCTCACCTCTCCTCCCCTCCTAGAGGACAGAGCGATGCGGAGACAATAGGACGCATAGCCGGAGCAGTGTGCAGGATGCTCGGCGTCTCACAGAGGCTTCTCACCGGACCCGGAGCCCAGGACCAGGACTTTCTCCCGGCTCAGACCCCCAAGTGTGCTCCCCAGCAGCCTGCACTGATAGGGCGGACTCCACAGCCTCCATATGGGAGACAACTGAAGGGTGAGCTGCGGAATAAATGCTCCATCTATCCTCACCTGCACCCTCATCCTCTGACTCCCTATAATTAAGGGATGTATTACACTGATTTCTTATTTTCCGAGCATGACAGGCCTATTCTGTGCAGCACCATGCACTGAAAACAATGCTGTAGAATGCGCGCGCGTGTGTGTTTGTGTGCCATTTATCTCCAGGAAACAACAAAATACTGCATTTTAGATGTAAAATCTGTGAAGCGGAATTCATGCTATTGATCACAATGCAACCTCTTGCACCCCCACCCCTCCATGCATCCTGTATATCTGCAGCAGCAGCTGTGTGTGTGTGGTGTGTGTGTGTGTGTGTGTGTGTGTGTGTGTGTGTGTGTGTGTGTGTGTGTGTGTGTGTGTGTGTGTGTGTGTGTGTGTGTGTGTGCGCCTGTCACTCAGAAACAGTGGTTTCCTCAGAGTCAGTGCAGTCTAAGGGACACACTGCAGGTGGGACCAACATGACGTAGCCCGACAGACTTCTGAAGCTGAGGATGGTGGGAGAATATTAACAGACCATAATGTTTACGTTGGTCCACATGCTGGGTTCAGGGATTTTTGCACCTTCCTTACGGCTGTGACAAAGTGTCCGCATGTGTTGCATTAATGTCACAAAGAAAACATACTACTGATACAATTCTAGATTATTGTTGTAGTGAACCAACTTCTAATTGTTTCTTCGTTTAGAGTTATCTTCCATTGCTTCATCTGTTCTGAGCCACTGAGGGAGGATGTCTGGTTGTGTGTGTGTTAAGCCTGAGACACAGCTCATCAAAGTGGGTTTAAGCTTCTTGCTGGAACATTAAAAAAAAAGAAGACACACACTCCAGCATGATGAGTCACAGATCACAATGTAGGTC